CCAGACCTGCTCCCAGCAACGAATCTCACATATACCTAGTTCATCCCATTCTGGCTCTTGTGATCGCCAGCGGGTGCTGGAGCCTAGTCCAGTCTGGCCTGCCCCCAGACTCACCCCATATATATGCAGACTAGTGCTACAGCCTTGTATGACCTGTCGCACCCCTAGCACTGGTTCTTGTACTTCCCAGTGGGAGCTGCAGCCTAGTAGAGGAGTTTTCCAAGTTCCCCAAGTTCCCCTACCAGGTCTTGGATCTTGCATGCCAGCAGGTGCCACAGCCCTGGTTGGCATGATCTGACCTCAGTTCTGGCCTTTGCATGTGCTGGTGGGTGCTGCAGCCTGGCCCTGCTTGGCCTCCTCCCAGTTCCAGTGAGTGTGGATTCCTGTCAGGGGGTGTTCTGTGGCCTAGCCTGGCTCGGCCCCATAACCACACCCACCTTTCTGAGTAAACTAGTGGGTACTACAGTCCCACAAAAACAAACCCCAATTCCCCTACAGAATCTGCCCCCCAGATCTCATTCTCTTGTGTTCTGGTCGATGCTGTGGCCCATCCTAATGTGGCCCACTCCTTGCTCTGAGACTCCCAGGCAAGTACTGCAGCCCAGCACAGGCAGGTGTATCTCCCAGCCCCAGTGGGCAGCAGGCAATGTTATTTAGCCCAGCCCAAGCCTCCCATGTGGGTAAGTACCTTGGCCTGACCCAGGCATGCCCTCCCTTTCTCCCTCCTTAAACCACTCCTTCTCAGCTCTCTCATCTGTCTGTGAGTGCAGTGGCCTGCCCCATGGAAGCCCCCTGAAGTCATTTCTCCCCTGTCAAACACGCGCTCAGCTGCACTCACTCAGATATGTCCCTGAATGCCCTTCCCTGGGCAATCTGCCTGGGTGCTGGGTGGCATGTACAAGGCCAGAGTTCCCTGCCTTTCCCACTGTAGCGGTGAGGGTGGGGGGGTGGGGGAGGAAGAGAGAGGGAGGGAGGAGGAGGAGAGAGAGAAAGCGAGAGAAAAGAAGAAAAGATTAAGCAACTATTCTGGCACACTGGTAGGTATAGTTAACACAAATTTGGCATTAACCAGGCCCAGAACACTCACCAGGTACTGGCTGCTTTCCTTCCAGCAGTGTGACATCTGCCTATGTCCAAGTCAACCTAGGCAGTCGCCGTTTGGGGCACAGTGATTCCTAGAGTTGAGGAAAGAAAACCGTGGAGTAAGGGCAAGAGCAGGGAATCCAGTTAGGAACTGTGGCGGAGAGTAGCTGATCGCGGCTTGGGCATGGGAGTTTGACAAAGGAGTGATTCTCCTCCTTGGAGGGGAAGTGTGGTCGGCTCAACTCCTGGTGTGTGCTGGGAGCAGAACGCAGGCAGGCTCTCCAACTTCTCCAGTGGGGTGAGCGTTCTGCCTTCTTGCACTCTGCTCTCCCAGGGTGATGCAGAAACGAGTGGTGGCTGTCAGGGGAGGCCTGGGCTCCTGTCCCGCGCAGGCTCTGGTGACTTTGGGTCTCAATATGTGACAGCTGGATGACCAAAGCGAACCCAAATGTCCACCAGCTGATGAGGGGGTAAGCACACGTACCATGTCCACACAGGGGAATATTACTCAGCTATAAACAGGCGCCATCTGGATGAAGTCCGGACACACGACGTTAAGTGCAGCAAGCTGAACTGAAAGTGTGGCAGGGTGTGTGAATCCACCCCAGGAAAGGTCCAGCAAGGGCAAGTTCGTGGAGACCCGACGTTATAGCTGTCAGGGACTGGGGCACAGGGAACGTGGGGAGGCCTGGCTTTGCTGGTTGGGGGGAGGAGAGTGTTCTGGGCTTGGTGGTGGGGATGAGCACACTTGGTGATCACATTCAGGTCACTGAGCCACACACAGCCCACGGGGGACATCAGGGCTTGTGGAGCAGATTGCTGTTGTCTAAGCGGCAGGTGAGTTGAGTCAGAACTCGTAGGGAGTCCAGGTGGCCTCAGTGGAGCTTGGAATGCCTGGGATAGCGGAATACTGAGTGTTTGGGGGCAGAGGTCAAAGTTCTGACAATAGATGGTCCGCAGGCCTCTGGGACTAACGGGAGGTCAGAGGAGAAGATGGAGGAGGAGGAGCAGATGCAGGCTTTGCTTTGAGGTGCTAGAAGTCACCAGGTAATGCTGGCCGAAGCTCAGGGCTCTGGCTTGGGATTTGGAAAAGCAGGAAGTTTCTCCAGAGCGCGCGGGGAGCCTAGCAACCATCGCCCGGGAGTGGGTGTGTTGTTTCTCAGCCCAACTTCGGTAAGAGCAAGCTCAGGTCCAGGGAGAGAAGGACCATCCAGCTAGGTAAGCAGTGTGCTGGGAGAAAAGCAGCAGGTTGGCAGTGTGAGTAGATCTGGGGGGTTGGGCTGCCATTGTTAAGGAGTGTTCTACAGTCTTAGCTTTGTCCTTGGGAACAGCTCTGCCCTACCCACTGCACCACTTGGAGCCGGTGCCCCTCAACTAGATAAGCAGGTATTCAGGAAGGAGCCACTGTTCTCCATCATTTCATCCCTCCTGTGGTTTCATTCACTCATTTACTGTGCTGCCAGTGGAATGGCTGCCAGCCTGTGTGTGGTGTCCCCTCGTGTCACCCCAAAGTGTTCAGTGGCTGGGCACCTTAGGCAGGATGACTGAGCGCACACTCTCTGACAGCCTGATGGGTGGGTGGGCTTTGGTTGCTTCTGGGATCTGGGTGTTCTGTGGCCCGTGGTGTGAGCCAGCTCCCTGCCTGTGTCCTGCCTGTGTCCTCTGTCCTGTGTCCAGGCCTGCGTTGGCCTGTGTTCAGGTGTTCATGCTTTTCCGCAGCCCCTCCTCTCAGCTCCAGTGACATTTCTGTGGGAGTGATTTTTCCCCCTCCATCCCCGTTGCAGACCCTCAGGGAGCTGCTCCAGCTGGCAACAGCCATGCTTTGCTCCCAGATGCCTCTCCACACATTCTCCTGATGGTGAAAATCATGCAAATAACACTGGAAGACAGTCTCCCAGCACATGGGTCTTCAAGACTATAATGAATTAACCCCCTGATGCAACCCGTTCCTCAGCCATCCATCATGCTGATGCGATTAAGCTAGGGGAAGCCAGATGCGCAGAGTCCCCAGGGATGGATGGTGCTCCCCCAGGGCTCCTGGCCAGTGCTGTCCCCAGCTTCTTGGCCCCTCAGCAGTTTAGAGAACATCTGTCCAGCCTGTCTTTCGCAGACAAGTAGGCGATTGAGGCCTTTTGGGGCGTGGGGTGATGCAAGTTCAATCCCTGCTCTCCCTTGTCCCCAGCACCGCTACCTTCTTGCTGATGGGCTCTGAAGGCAAGGCTCCACATCCGGATATTCTCATGTGGAGCTCAAGGCAGGCGAGTGCTTGCTGTCCCAGCGAAGGCTGTCGGGAGTCCCATTTCCTCATAGGGCTTGCCTCTTCCACACTTCTACAACATTCTCAGCTGTGTGTCAGGAGGCCTAGGTCTTTTCAGGAGCCTGGGAAGCGAGGGTGTGGCTCGATCCTGTCTGTCTTACACCTGCTCCTACTGTAGACTCAGGTGAAAAGCACCCCATTAGAAACATCTGGTCACTGCCCACCGCTCCACCCCCGAGCAAGACAGCAGCTTAGGAGTCTGGGTAGCAAGAATTCAATCTGAAGGAGCCAGGAGACGGTCCACAAGCCAGCAGACCACTTAGCCAGCCCTGTGTACGCAAGCTCATCTCGTGCCTTGACAGGGGCAGGTCCCCAAGGCTTGAGAAAGGTCGCTTGCCCCCAGAGTGCTACCATGTTCACCAGTCCCTTTGGGATAAGCATTGCAATTTTACAGAATGCAGACACCCCCTAGGACCAAGGCAATCCCCACACTTCCTGGGGCAATTAGGGCCTTGGGATGCTGCTTAAGGGGCCAGTGCTGTGCTCTGCACCTGCACTTAGATGGGTAAGGGCTGCAGGCAATGCGGTCCTTGAGAGCCTCCCTGGGGATTCTGCTGCAGGATTCTGGGTTTTAATTGGCCTCCCCATCACATGTGTGTTCAGCACAATACTCTGGTAATGAGGTGTAAACCGTGAACATTGCTGACGGTAACAAGGGCTGACATCCCGCTAGACCTGTCTTTCTGTGTGGACTGTGGGGTTTGGTGAATTAGGGAACACTTTTGCCCTCTATAAAAAGCACCCCTGCTTTTCCCAGGTGCATTAGCCAGAACTGGATGGGAAGTGGTTCCCGTCACTCCCCAAATCAGTAGGTTCCCTCCGCAAGTCATCACCCTCTAGGACAGCAGAGCTGGTCCGAATTTAAAACACCAGGTGGGGGTGGGGCGGGGCGTGCCCCGTGCGCCCCATCTGCCTCTCGGTTGGGCAGTTGAGCGTTGGGAGACAGACACCCCACGGTTAGCAGGTGTCTGTACCCTCAGCTCACACCCGGTGTCCCCCATTGTCTCCACGAGGGGAAAGTACAGGGTGTTCCCAGCGGAGTTCCCCGGAGGTCTTTGCAACCCAAGTGGTAGGGAGGCGACCCACTCGAAGCTAGTGCCGAAGCCCCGCCCACATTGGACTGGGCCCGCCCGAAGCCCCGCCCTTGCGGGCTGGGATCGCCCTCCAAGGCCCCGCCCACAAAACGCTGGGTCCGCCCCCAGCGCGGCAGGCGTGTCTCCCAAGGCCACTCCCACTGCGTGCCAGGTGTGTCTCTCTAGAAGCCACTCCCACTGCGCCCTGGGCCCGCCCACTGCGTGCCAGGTGTGTCTCTCCCGAGGCCACGCCCACGGCGCCCTGGGCCCGCCCACGCCCCGCCCGCTGGGCCCGCCCTGTGCGTGGCCCGGGTTGGGCAGGACAGGGAGGGGGCGTGGCTGGGCGGCGGCGCTAGGACCCGCCCGGGCGCCGCGCACGTCACCGAGCGGCGCCGAGCCTGCGGGTTGAGCGGGAGGCGCGAGGGCTCCGGGCGCTGCCTCCCCGCCCTGGGTCCCCGGCCGGAGCCGGTTCCGAGGAAGGGAGAGGGAGCCGGAGTCCCACGACGGAGGGGTCTGGTCCCGTAGGAAGCCTCGCTTCATCTCCTCGCGTGTCTGGCTCTGCGCGCTCGGCCTTGCGCCTCGGGCTGTTTCCCTCCGCGTCCGCCGTGCTTTGCTGTTTGCGGGTCTCGGGCGCGGGAGGCCGATCGGGGCGCCGCTGAGGACCCCCAAGCTCCGGCCTCTGCGTCCCTGCTTTGGCGCGGGAGGGGGCGCCTGGTGCCGGTCCTGGTGCTCCCCGGCCCGGGGACCGACCCCCCGGCCTTGTCCCACCCCCAGGTAACGGGGAGGATGACCACGCTCACGCGACAGGACCTCAACTTTGGCCAAGGTAGGGGGGCCGGGCCTGCGGGCTGCGGACTGGGGGCCGGGGGGCCCGCGGGCGACCCCGAGCGCGCGGCCGGTCGTGTGTTCCCTGCAGTGGTGGCGGACGTGTTGTGCGAGTTCCTGGAGGTGGCCGTGCACCTCATCCTCTACGTGCGTGAGGTGTACCCGGTGGGCATCTTCCAGAAGCGCAAGAAGTACAACGTGCCGGTCCAGGTGAGTCCCGGGTTGGTGAGGAGAGGACTTGGAGGGAAATCCCACCCCCAGGCTGGCCCGTTAGGACCTCCCCACCCCCACCGTTAGTGACCTGGCTGCGAGGGAACCAAGTGGCTCCTTTGGAGGGGTTAAAGGAACTCCAGCAACCGGTGGACCTGGAGGCAGGCCCGGGGCTGTTGCAGGTTTCTGGTACCTTCTCTCTCCCCTCGTTGACTCAGAACTCTGAGAGGCTGTTGAAGGTTCAAGGCAGGCCAGCAGTAAGCACCTGTTCTACTGAAGACCCCACAGGTGCTTGTCCCTGGGGAAGTAGAGCAGTGGAGGCTTGCAGAGGGAAAAAGAGTAAGCACCCTCTCCCTCCATGGGATTCTTAAAGCTGAGGCCACATAGCTCCTCAGTGCTTCACTTTGTGAAGTCTGGTCAGATTCCTAGATCTTTCTGAGCCGGGTCGGCCTTAAGGATTTATTTATTCTTATTGAAGAGTCAGATTTGCAGAGAGAAGGAGAGACAGAGTAAGATCTTCCATTTGCTGATTCACTCCCTAAGTGGCTGCAAAGGCCGGAGCTGAGCTTATCCAAAGCCAGGAGCTTCTTCTGGGTTTCCCATGTGGGTACAGGGTCCCAAAGCTTTGGGCCGTCCTTCACTGCTTTCCCAGGTCACAGGCGGGGGGCTAGAAGGGAAATGGAACAGCTGGAAACAAGCTGGCACCCAAATGGGATCCTGGCGTATGAGAGGCGAGGACTTTAGCTATCAGGCTACCGCGCCGGGCGCTGGGCCTCTTCTGACTCCAGAGAGGCCCTGTAGCAGGAATCCTGCCCCTCTGTTAAATGCTGGCTCTGCAGTTGCTTTCTCGCCTTCTCCTCCATGCTGGATGATTTCAGGGTGGGTAGTCTCAGGCAGGGCAATGGGTCTTTTGGGTAGGCGGTCCTGTAGAGTGATTGGGTTTTGGGGGGTATGTGTGTGTTCTATCTGGCCATGCCTCGGCAGCAGCCGCTGGCCTGTGTGTCGTATGCAGATGTCCTGCCACCCAGAGCTGAACCAGTACATCCAGGACACCCTGCACTGCGTCCGGCCACTTCTGGAGAAGGTGAGGGACACCAGGCCATGCCAACCACTGCCCTCCCACCCCATCCCTGCTCAGGCCTGCCAGGCTCGATTCTGGTACCCTGTGGGGCACCCGTGCTTTCACACTCCGAAGCCTGTCCCCCTTAGTCCCCTTAGGGATGGACCCCTGAACAGGTAGGCCAGGGGCAGAAGCTTAGGCCCGGAGCCCCGCTCTGAGTTGCGGCTGCCCCAGAGGGTTCTGGGTTCTTGCAATGTCTGTTACCCTCTCCACCTCCAGCCCCTCCGGGTTCCCGCATTCTCTCCTTTCCTGGTCTCAGAGTTTCTGGACTCATGGCTCCTTGTCCGAGCGGCTGAGCAGATCTGAGTGTGCGTTTGCCAGCCTGGCTCAGGTGGGAGTGTGGGGTTGGAGTGGGCTGCCTGGCCGCGCTGTGAGGGACTTCTGTCCTTGCAGAACGATGTGGAGAAAGTGGTGGTGGTGATTTTGGATAAAGAGCACCGCCCAGTGGAGAAATTTGTCTTTGAAATCACCCAGCCTCCGCTGCTGTCTGTCAGGTGAGCTGCCCTGCCCCACCGCCAGCTGGCAGTCTCTAGCAGCCAGCCCCTCAGCCCCGACTCTATTTTGTGTGATTGATATATAGACTTGAAAGGCAGAGTTAGAAGGTGAGACAGAGTTAGATCTGTTTGCTGGTTCATTCCGGAGATGTTAGCAATAGCTGGAACCAAGAGCCAGGAGCTTTTTCTGAGGCTCCCACATGAGTGCAGAGTCCCAAGGTGCTGGGGCATCCTCTACTGCTTTCCAAGGCCATAAGTAGGGAGCTGGATGGGAAGTGGAACAGCCAGTGCTTGCTTCAGCAGCACATATACTAAAATTGGAAGTAGAGCAGCCAGGACCCAAAGTGGCACCCCTATGGGATGCTGGCACCACAGATGGAAGCTTAGCCTACTGTGTTACAGTGCTGGCCACTCCTTTTTTTTTTTCAAGAGATGTATTTGAAGGTCAGCACTGTGGCTCAACAGGCTAACCATCTGTTTACTAGCACCAGCATCCCATTTGAGCACTGGGTCTAATCCCAGCTACCCCACTTCCCATCCAGCTCCCTGCTATGGCCTGGGAAAAGAGCAGAGAATGTGTTAAGTTCTTAGGCTCTGGCACTCATGTGGGAGACCTGGAAGAAGCTCCTGACTCCTGGCTTCGAATTGGCTCAGCTCTGACCATCGTGGCTATTTAGGGAGTGGACCAAAGGATGGAAGTTTAAAAAACAAAAGACAGCAACTATTTGAATGGCTGCTGACACTTAAATGGGTTAAGCCACTGCTTACATGCTGGCGTCCCATATGGTGCCAGTTTGAATCCTGCTGCTTTTCTGATCTAGTTCCCTGCTAATGGCCTAGGAAAAACAGCAGAGAATGACCCATGTGGGAGACCCAAAGGAAGCTCCTGGCTTCAGCATGGGCTAGCCCCGGCTGCTGCGGTCATCTAAGGAGTGAACCAGTGGATGGAGGATCTCTTTCTGTCTTATCTCTGTCACTCTTTCAAATAAATGAATCTTAAAAAAAATCATTGTGTATGAAGGGTAGAGCAAAGAAAAGAGGGAGAGGAGAGCTTTAGTTTGCTGATTCGCTCTCCAAACCTCTGTAGTGACTGTGGGTTGAAGCCAGGAGCCAGGAACTGCACTCATGACTTCCATGTGGGCGGCAGAAACCCAGATACCTGGGCCATCCTCTACTGCTTTCCCGGCTGCATCAGTAGAGAGCTCTAGTCAGGACTCAGAACGACTGCCAGTATGGGATCCCAGCATAGGAGATGGCAGCTTAGCTTGCAGTGCCACCCCTGCCCCCACCCTTCCTGGCAGCCCTGACTAGCTGGATGGGGGAGAAAACCTAAGAGGGATGTGCCTGGAGAGGCCTCAGCCCGTCAGTGATGGCGATGCGGCTGACCCATGCTGGCCCTTAGTGGACACCTTCCTATATCAGCATGCATGTGTCCTGGCCCCACGTGTAGCTGCAGGGATCAGGGAGCGATGACATACGCTCCCTGGGGGTCACCTAGGTGGTGGGCATGTGCAGGACACAGACCCAATGGCTGACCCAAAGGTGAATGCCTAGCCACAGGCAGCCTGAAGTTGACTAGATGTAAGCCGGCATGCCACGTGCCTCCTATGGTGAGGTCAGGAGCTTGTCCTCACTGACCATGTGACCTCAGGGGACCCTTGCTTTCTGGGCTTGCAGGCCTGGTTCTCTTGCCTGTGTATTACAGCCACCTCATGAGGTCCCCAGGCCACTCTCCCTCACTCCAACTTGGTCTGGGCAGGGAGCTGGTCCTGTCTGGGTGTGACATTGGAGGGCAGGATATGGAATGTTCCCTGCCACCGCCCAGCTAACCTGGAATCCTGAGACTTGAAACGAAGATGGAAGCTTCATCTGAGAGCAGGGAGTTCTTTGGGCCAGCTCACAGTTCACACATAGCATGACAAGCCACGTGGCCAGGGGTCCTTGGCGCGTGTCCCCCCAGGAAGGTGGAAAAGGCCAGGCATGTGCTCACAGCATCAGGGAACCAGGATTGAGGCATGTGCAAGGCGTCAGCTGTTCCCTAGGAGCAGCCCCATGGGGGATGCTGGGTGGTTATGGCCACAGGTACTGTGGGCTCTGGTCCCTGGCTGGCTGCCAGGAGGAAGGAAGACACTGGTCACGGGACCCTTCCTCTCCAGCTCGGACTCCTTGCTGTCGCACGTGGAGCAGCTGTTGCGAGCCTTCATCCTGAAGATCAGTGTGTGTGATGCTGTCCTGGACCACAACCCCCCAGGTGGGCCGCCCCTGCTCCCTGGGCTCCCCGGACAGGCCTTCCCTGCGCCCTGGGTGGGCTGCCCTGTTCCCTGGGCCCCCTGGGTGTGCCACTCCTGCTCCCTGGGCTCCCCGGGTGGGCCGCCCCTGCTCCCCGGGATCCCTGGGTGGTCCATGTTCCCAGGTTCTGATTTGGCTGCTTCTGCCTCTATAAAGGAGGTGAGGCCTTATAGAGCTCACCTCCTCCAGGAAATTTTCCCAATGGACAACCCTCCTCCTCTGGCTTCAGTTGCTTTGTGGGTTATGCCTTTTTTTCTCCTCTTTTTAAAGGTTTTTATTTTACTCAGTGAAAGGCAGAGTTACAGAGAGCTGGAGAGAGCCCCTCCACTGGTTCATTTTCCCAAATGGCTACAGCAGCCAGAGTTGGGCCAAGCTGAAGCAGGAGCTACATCCAAGTCTCACACGGGAAGCAGGGGTCCATGCACTGGGCCATCTGCTGCTGCTTTCCTGGGCCCATTAGCAGGGAGCTGAATTGGAAGTGGAGCAGCCGAGATTTGAACTGATGCTCATGTGGATTGTAGGCAGCAATGCCATCTAATAAGACAGAATGCTAACACCAGACTGTGCCTTTTCTTAGTACACAGTTTATATCCTGTGGGTCTGCCCCGTCAACAGGAGAGGCGAGGCCACGGCACAGGTATGGGGCCGCATTGCACTGACCATGCTCTCACCTCTCCAGGCTGCACCTTCACGGTCCTGGTGCACACGCGAGAAGCTGCCACTCGCAACATGGAGAAGATCCAGGTCATCAAGGTGAGGAGGCTGGTGGGCAGGGGTGGAGGCCCTCAGCGTTGCCCTTGCAGGTGGGCAGGGGCCTGGCATATGCCCAATGCCTGGCATCCTACAGGGTCTCCTGTGTGTGAAGTGTCTGGCCATTGCTGGGGGTGGGGTGATCGCAGTGCTGAGGAGTGTCAGAATGGGGTTCTCCATGGAGGGGCCTTTGCCCACCAGATGGAGTCAGTGCTTGGGCTTGTTAAGCCCTCGAGGTTCCCCCCTCCAGCAGGGGCCTGCCCTCCCAACCCCTTCTCCCAAGGATTTTGTTGCTTCTCATGTCTCAGGACCCCCACTCTGGAGGGAAGGGGTAACAGGGTCGGGGTGGGCTAACCTGGGCCCCTGCCAGCGCCTCCCTGGGCCCCCTCCTAGGACTTCCCGTGGATCCTGGCGGATGAACAGGATGTCCACATGCACGACCCCCGGCTGATCCCCCTAAAGACCATGACATCAGACATCCTGAAGGTGAGCCGCGTGATGGCGGACACTGGGGGCTGCTGGGGAGGCCTGGCAGAGCAGCCCCGTGGCGGGGCACTGCTCTGAACTTGCTCCTTGCCTGCCTGGGCCCTGGGCCTTGGGCCCTCCAGAGGCGGCTCCTAGATGGCCCCACCTGCGGCTGTTTATCTCTGTCAGATGCAGCTCTACGTGGAAGAGCGAGCTCAGAAAAGCAGCTGAGGGTGCGCCTGCCAGCCCACTGATGCTACAACTGTGAGACTTTGGGGGGGCTCCTCACCTCAGGCTGCGCTGCAGGGCCACCCTGACTCCAAGTGCTCTTATTGCCTCTGTGGAGGGACCGCCCACCCTCAGGTCCGGGGCTTGTCTGGGCTGGTGGCCTTCACGGAGGAAGCCGCCGACACGGGCCGTGAAGAATGCTGGGACCTCGGTTTCCTGGCCTCCTGGCTCAAGTCGGCCACTGCTGTCTCGAATACTGTGCTGTGAGTTGTTTCAATAAAGGGGCCCCAAGGGCTGAGCTGGGCTGGCACTGACTGGAATGGGAGGGGCAGTGGAGTCCACATGCTAGGGACCCACATGCCCCCACCTGTAAATCTGACCCTGGCTGGTTTTCCCAGAAGCATTTATTGGGCAGAGCATTGAGCTGCATGGCAGGAAGCTACCACAGCTGGTGGCTTTAACCCAAGCCTGAGACGGGGCAGGGGCCTTTGGGGCAGGGGACCTGGCTGCCTGCCACAGGCTCAGCTTGCACCTGCAGCAGCCCTCTGACTGAGCTGGGCAGGAGATGGACAAGTGCTGTCAGGTGGGAAGCTGTCCTCAGGCTCTGTGGTGGCCAGGCGGGGAGGGCGACCGGGCTGCCTCCTGCCGTGGCCGGGACAGTGTCTCTGGCTGAGCCACAGGAGGCTCTGGATTCTTGGGTTTATAGCTGACGGTGACGCTGCTGTTGGTGACGCGGGGCCCATACCAGCCTGCCCAGAACTGGGTGTCCTTGCCTCCGTGCTGGAAGAGGATATGGCGGACGCCGGGTGGGTAGTCGGAGAAGGTGTGGGAGACCTAGAGGCGGGGAAGCCGGTTATGTGGAAGGGCTCCAGGCCTGAAGCCCGGGGCAGTCCCGGCCCAGGGAGAAGCAAGCGGGGTGGAGTGAGCAGCTGCAGTCTTACCTCCGTCCACGCGGCATCACTCCACTGAGGGATAGTCACTGGTGGGGGCTCGTAGGAGGCCAGAACGATGTAGTCGGCTGAGGTCAGTTTTACTCGCAGGTGGTAGGAGCAGCCACAGTCTGCTCTGGCCGCAAACCTGTGGAGGGCCAAGCTGCTGGGCCTGGGCTGGGGACAGCGCGGCGGTGGGGAGGGGGACAGACCCACAGACAAACCCAGGTCCACTTTCCTGAGCTCCCTTCTGCTCGGCCCCTGAGGCCCGCTGGCTTTCTTGTTCATATACCCTGCTGTGCCCCTGGGGTCAGTAGCCTCCTTGCTGGGCCTCAGTTAACCCATCTGAGAAAAGGGCTGATGGGCATTCACTGAGGCTGTGATCTCAGAATGCCAAAGGTCAAGTCTGTCCACACTGTCCCCTGCATGTGACCGTGCACCTGGCTGGGGACTGAGCGGGACTGGGGTCTGTGGGATGGGGGCTGGCACAGCTCTGCGTATCCTGCAAGCCCATCCTTTTACCCTCAGGGTCATAGAGCCAGGTCCTGGCTAGACTCAGATCCTGCTTTTGCTAGAGACCAAGCCAGGGGCCTTGCATGGAACTGGGGGAAGTCAGGGGGTGAAGAGGGAAAAGGGAGGCGCCTGGGCAAGAGGGCTGTGATTTGCCTATGCCCGTTCAGGGCTGGGCTCCTCTGGCTCCAGTGTGTTAGTGGCAAGTCGTGTGTAGGCCTTGGTGCCCCACGTGTAGCCATGTCCCAGGGGCTGGGAGGCCGGAAGTGCCACTGGGTCCCATGGCACAGGAAGAGCAGGACCAGGTCTGCCTGGCTTTAGGGGTGGTTTGCCTCGTGACACTGCTGAGGCACACACTGGGTACTTGCTTTGGGTTTTTGCATGTAGTTGCAGGAGGGAAAGAGGGGGTGCTGAGTTGGGAGATGAGGTGGGGGCCTTACTCACCAGTCCTTGACCACGATGTCAGGCCGGACCAGGTCTAACAGTTCCTCCCAGTAGCCATGCGCCTTGAGGTCCACCAGTTGGGATTTGAGGCACAAGCTGGGAGCAGAGGGTAAGGCTTGTGTCTCCAGCTGGGGCTGCACGGCGTCTCCATGCCAGGCCCAGCAGCCCCAGGGTGTCCCCCAAACCCTGCGGCCTGGGCAGTGGCTGGTACTGATCTGGGCAGTGGTTGGCCTGACCTGCTTGTGTCCGAGCAGCATCTGGACCCATTCGAAAGGCCCTGTCTGCATTACGGATACCTGTAGACGCCCAGCAGACCTCAGCTGCCTGTGGGCCCCTTGCAGTTAACCAAGTTACCACGGAGTCAGCTCATGTGCTCGCTCCAGGAGTGGTAGACAGGGGAGGAGGGGTTTGCTGGAGGCCCTGGCTGCCCAGGGTTGCCCAGCCCTCGTTCCCCTGGGCGGCAGCCTGCTGTGGTCAGCCTGTCTTACCCGTAAGAGGTGACAAAGTACTTCTTCACTCTGGGGTCAGGGAAGTTCGTGCCGTGTGCTCCTGGCAGGCTCTCCACCTTCCACTCGTCTCCCCCATTGCAGTCGATCTGCCATGACCTCAAGTCATCTAGGGAAAATGGAGGCCAGGTGAGACCCCAGTGGGCCTGGGGGAAGGTCAGGTAGGGTACACAGCCTCTCCGGCTGCAGGCCTTGTTCCAGCTCGGGTCTCAGGCTGTGGGTTGTCAGAAGTCAACCAGCTGCTCCCTTCTCAAGGATGCGCAGGTGTACCCTGGCAGCACCTTGGAGCTCCCCTCCTCTGGCCCACTCCCAGCTGCTGCCACCGTTTCACCTCTGACCTGGGCTTGCCTCCCTCCAGCCTTCTCTGCACACCTTTTCCTTCCTTGTTGGCTGCTGTGGGGGGATCTGGGGAGACCTCCATTTCAACTCTCCAGAAACTGATTCTAAAGGGCTTGGTCTTGGTGATTGATAGGTGCTGTTCTTGGCAAGAGCACCTCCCTGCCGGTAGCCCTGTCGGTGCCAGGGCTGGCATGGAGGGTCTCCAGGGTCCTGGTCTTCTGGTCTGCTTCAGAGGCTGGGAACCCAAGGGGAGAAGGGAAGGGATTGCGTCCTCTACACTGCGATGTCTGTGGCAGGACCTACATTGGAAGGCTCAGCAGGTGCACAGGGCCCCGCCCTGGCCTGCTTCACACTGAGCTAGGACCTTTGGCAGCAGCAGTTCTTCCTTAGCAAGGCTGTTGAACCACACCACCAGGGGAGCATTTCCAACATAACTGCTTGCCTACCCATCAGGAGCCCTGCCTCCTGGGTGTCCTGGCCCCCAGTGGAGAACTGGAGGAGTAAAACAGAAACCCAGCCGCTGAGCTGGTGCTGAGCATGGTCACCCGGAGGTAAAGGCCAGCAGGGCTGGGCTGGCCACTGCTGGGCTGGGGCCCCGCATGAGGCTGGTGCTGCAAGGCAGTGTGAGCTGAGCTAGAGGCTTGGCTGCAACTTCTTGCAGAATTTGGGGCAGGCAGGGAGCTTAAGTGTGCAGGCCACTGTCTGAGGCGCCTCTGGGGGCGCCCTGAGAGTTGTAAAGTACCCCTGCCCTGTGAACTGGAGCCCACACTTACTGGGCTCCGGTGAGGGTGGAGGATGTGGAGAGGGAGTCTAAGTGGAGAAGCAGTGTCCACCTAGCACTGTTGTGGCCTGGTAGTAACTGCCAGGAGTGAGAACACCCTGGCAAACCCAGATAGCTACAGCCCAGACGGCTCCACTTCTGAGTCTCCACTCTGCTCATCTGTGCAATGGGTGGAAAGTGAGGACAGGCAGCTTCACTTAAAAAGATCTCATATGTGCAGCTGACACAGAGGAGGTGCCCAGGGAAATTCAGGACAGCTTGGGCTAGGCTCAGGGGTCAGTGGACCTGCAGAGTGTGCATCCAAGACCACCTGAGCCCCTGCTGGCATGAAGGCCACTGCACAGGGTGGCAGACAAGGTCCTGCCTCTTGAAGTTGGTAGCAGAGGAAGTAAAGCAAGTATGGACCATGGAAAGTGCTGGATGATGCTAAATGAGGATGACGGGGGAGTCAGGATGGGGCTCTGGGCAGACTAGAAGCACGCAGCACAGCCAAGGGAGCAGAGCAGGTGCTGAGGTGTGCAAGAACATTCCAGTAGGGTGCTGCTGAGTGTGAAGGCCACAGGGTTCAGGAAAGGAAAGGACCCAACCCAGCGGCAGCCTCCCCACCCCAAGCCCCCAGGCGCTACCTTCCGCGCACGGGTTGCGCAGCAGGTTCCTGTGCAGGCTTCGCAGGAAGTAGAAGATCTTCCAGTCGGCCACGGGCTGGTCCCAGTCCTCGGTAATGAAGCCCTCGCGGAGGCACTTGCGCTTCCAAAGGGTGGTGAGGTCGATGAGGTCTCGCCAGAGGCTGCAGACGGGGCGGCAGCGCAGCAGCAGCTGGCGGGCAGGCACGTGCGTGAAGAGCTCCAGCAGGATGTTCTCGGGCAGCTCGTTGATGTTCACGGAGGCCATGGCCATGGCGGGCAGGACTCCTGCAGGCCTGTGGGGCGGCAGCAGTGAGCAGCACCGGCCAGGGAGGTGGCCCTGGGATCCCAGGGGACTCAGCTGGACTCCTGGTTCCTCTTCTGTGAAAACAACACGCGTGGCCTCCGATGTACAGACGAGCTGCATGTAACACAGACATGCTGGGAAAACAAACTACTGGCTGCCAGACTTCAGGGAGGTGGGGGTGGGCTGGGGTCGGAAGCAGCTCACCTTTCCAGGGCTGTACTTCTTGGCCTAGAGCTGCTAAATTTCCAGAAGCCTCACCCTGGCCTGTGGCAGAGACCAAGGGTGAATGGAGGGGGGGGCTTCCACACTCAGATGGGCCTCATCTACTTGGAGAATGTTCTACATGCAGAGTCCTCTAGAGTCCCCTTCCCAGAACAGTGTGGCCACGAGCCCCTGCGCAGGGAAGAGTCTGCTAGCTTGACAAAAGCAGAAAACAAGCAGACCAGTGAGGTGTTTACATCTCATGGGAAATGCTGTGATGGTGGCCAAGCTTGGACTGCAGACACGTTCTAGACACCAACGTGTCCACCTAACAAGTGGGCAAACGGATCAGTGGATTAAGCCACAGCTTGTGACGCTGGCATCCCTCATCAGCGCTAGTTCAAGTCCTCCTTGCTCGGCTGCAGACCCAGCTCCCCGCTAATGCACCCTGGGAAGCAGACAGCAGAAGCTGGCCTGGGGTACTTAGGCCCCTCCGCCCATATGGGCGGACTGCATGGAGTCCCAGGTTCCTGTCATCTGGGAGGGGTGGTAAGCCAGTAGGTGCAAGACTCCCCTCTCCCCACCACACACACAATGCCTTTCAAATCTTAAAAAATTGGATCTGACATCATAGCTCAACAGGGATAATCTTCTACCTTCAAGTGCTGGCACCCCATGTGGGTGTTGGTTCATTTCCTGGCTGTTCCATCTCCCATCCAGCTCCCTGCTTATGACCTAGGAAAGCAGTGGAGGATGGCTCAGGCCCTTGAGGACCCTGCACCCACTGGCTCCTGGCTTTGGACTAGCTTAGTTCCAGCTGTTGCCGCCATTTGAGGAGTGCACCAGTGGATGAAAGACTTTGCTTCTCCTAGCTCTGTAAATCTTCCTTTCTTAAAAAAAATAAATTTTCAAAAAAGGCAGCTTTTATAAGCACTGTGTAGACTGAATAAGCTATGGGCTCCGGTTCAAAGGAGGCTCAGGGGCAGGACCCCGGCTCCGTGTTGCTCCTTGGCCTGGGGGAGAAGCCTGCTAGTGGGAACAGGATGGGGTCAAAGGCCTTGCAGGGGCACCTTGTAGACAAGCCCAACCCAGTCCTCCGGGGCAACCTCACAATCCTGGGCTTCCTGCCAGGCCACCCGGCCCAAGCTGGCCTCGTCTCCTGCGCCCCCGCCTAGGGGACTTCCTGCTAGGCCCTTTGGAAACAGCAACTGAGGCTCGGGGGATCCCAAGGCCGCCCTCGGCCTCACACCGCCTGCAGGATGTGGTGCTGGCGGCCGCAGCCGTGGGGCAGCACCACCACCTGGCCCCAGTGAGAGTCGGCCCCACAGCGGCGCGGGACCCTCCAGGACCACGGACCCCGGAAATCCCGCACCCGCCTCCCCTCGCCACCCTCCGGGCTCAGTGAAGGCCCGGCACTGCCGGGCAGCCACCCAGGCCCTCCCTCGTCCACCCTGGCTGGGTGCGGGACTGAGCGCACCGCGGGAAGGGAGCTCGGGGCGGCCTGGAGCCTGCGGCCTACGCGGCGGGTCCGCCCTCACCCCGCCCCGCGCCGCGTCACGCGTCACCAGCCACCCGCGCCAGGCCCGGCCGCGGGCCCTGCGTGTCCCGAAGCCCAGCTCCCCATCCTGGTGGTGGGCCGGAACTCACCTCCTTCCCGGGGACGCCTCCTCTCTCTGGGGAAGTCGAGCAGCCCCGCCCCGTCGCCGCCCGTTTCCTGCTCGCCCAAGGAGGAGGGGCCAGCTCCCCGCCAGGACCTGCGGCGTCCCCAAGGCCCTGGTGCAGCTCCCTGCTAAGTTCAACTAGCACTGAGTGCCTACTCACCGGGCCCCACCTAGACACCCTGACTTCATCCAGTGTCTGAAGGTTGCCAGGGTAGCGTCGCCCACGTGGTGAGCCCCCTCCCCACCTGCCTCGTGCTGGGGTGCAGGGAGGCGGGGGTGGGGTAGGAGGGCCTGCCAGGAGGGAAGTCTGGGCAGAGACCTGCGGTCTGGCTCCTAAGATGTCAATTTCTGTGTCCTCTGGCAGGAACCACATGGCCACACCTCCTCCAGGCAGGACAGCGCAGTGAGGCCCACCTCCCCATTCACAGGGCACAGGCTGGCTTGGGGACATCTTTATTTAGCTTCATGCAGAGGGCAAGGTCAGAACGCTGCTGTCCTTCCGGCAGAGGCAGGGGTATGGCAGAGGTTGGGATGGGGGACATCTTGTGACCGTGGTTCCAGCTGCTTGGCAAGGGGCTGTACTTGGACAGGTGGACCTTGAAAATCCCCCTCCCTACTCATCAAGGGCTCACGTTCAGCCCAGTTCCCAGAATTGGGTCCAATCCTGTTCCCCACTTGCCAGAGTTACCCTGTACAGGGTTCCTTGGGTCTCCTGGGAACTTTGTTGAGCTTCTTTGAAGGGAGGACCCCAACCCTGGTCCCCGGCCTTGGGCCTCCTGGGCCTCTAAGCCAAGCCACCTATTCCAGGCAGGCAGCCAGAACAGAACAGGGGCAGGGGCAGGGGCAGGGGCTGGCAGATATGAGAGTCACCTCCCAGCAGGTGCATTCTGCTGGGCAGCCACAGGCTTGCCATGTCTTGTCAGTCCCTGCTCTTCACCACCACCTCCACCATCACCATGGAGAGATCCCGGAAGGGGAAGGTAGAGACACAGGGTCCAAGTTGGCATTAAACTTGGAGACCCACTCAGGGGGCTGGAGGGTTTGGGGGGGATCCCCTGCACCCCCTGGACTGCATGCTCCATCTCTCAGAGGGACTCACAGAGGCCCCTGCCACCAGTGGATTCCACAGCACACAAGGGCTGCCCAGGCCAAAGGCCCTGAAAGACAAGGCAACTGGGGGCTCAGACAGACTGAGGGGGTGGGGTCGTCTGGCTCCCCTTCTGGAACAGCAGTCTACCAGTCAGGGTTCGGTGGATGGGGACTCGGGGGGAGTCAGGGCAGCGGGGGCCCGATGGTGATGCTGCTGTTGGTGACCCTCAGGCCGTACCAGCCGGCCCAGTAGTGAGTGTCCACGCCGCCGTGCTGAAACCAGATGTAGCGGACGCCGGGTGGGTAGTTGGAAAACGTGTGCGAGACCTGAAGAGCAGGCAGATTGGGGAAAGGTCAAGGTGCTGGCCCCAAGGGTGGCACAGCATTGGGGGACAGGACTGCAGGGGAGGGGCAGCACCAGGAGCCAGCAGAATGCAATAGGAGTCACAGCACTGCCTCAGGTTCCTCATCTGTAAAATGGAGCAACATCCTGTCCCGTGCACCCCACCGGATTAGCAAGTGGCTTGAAGGAACAGAAAGGGCACGCTCAAATCTCGAGTTAGCAGGGACTGGTCCTTATGAAGTGTCCAGTGAACAGTGCAGACACCTGCAGAGTCTGCGTGAATACTGTTGGTCTAGAGCAAGCAGGTCAGTAAATTAAACCTGGGGTCGCTTTGCTTAGCTTTTATAAATACAGTTTTATGGGAACACAGCCACATCCGCTTGTTTTCATATTATATATCGATGCTTTCTCAAAACAGCAGCAGAGTTGGCTGTGACAGAGACAGTTTGGTCTGCAAAGCTTAAAATATTTACCTGGCCTTTTCAGAAAGCAACGAACTAGATATATAATGGTGTTGGGCGACTTGGTGAATGGTGTTTGGTCCTGGCTGGTCCAGCCGCATACACTGGCAGCTTGGAGGGCCCAGAGATGGAAGCCCTGTTCTTTCCATTATACAGGTAGGCAAGTGAGGGGCAGAGCGGCAGAGGCCGAGGGGACGAGCAGGGAAGTTAGGATTGAGCCCAGGCCTGGCGCCTCCATCTCACATACCTCCCTCCACGTGGCATCGCTCTTCTGCTGGATCGTCGCTGGATCTGGCTGGAAGGTCCCCAGAGGGGCGTGTGCCGATGACAGGAGCTGAACGCACAGCTGGTACTTGGACCCGCAGTCTGGCCTGGCTGCGAACCTGCAGGAAGAGAGCAGGCCTGTTAGGGCCTTGGGGTTGGGGGGCAGGGTGGGGGTAGGGCGCCTGAATAGCAGGCCCCCTCCCCCAAACCCTCGCCCCTGACACTCACCAGTCCTTGACCTCGATGTCTGGCCGCGTGGTGTCCATCAGCTCCTCCCAATACCCTTCGGCCTTGAGGTCCACCACCTGGGACTTGAGGCAGGTGCTGGGGGCAGGGGTGAGGGGAGAGGAGTAGGAGGGACTGGGGCTTACCACTAGGCTACTGGGATGGAGTAGCTGGGATGAAGTGCCCAGAGTGTCCCCCACCCTGAGACCCCTGGCTCTTACTAATATGAAGTCACGAAGTATTTCTTGACCTTGTCATTGGGGAACTCCTTCCTCTGGTCTTTGGACAGATCCTCCACCTTCCACTCGTCGCCTCCATTCACGTCCAGGCTCCAGAACTCAAAGCCCTCTGGTGGGACAGAAGAGATGACACTGGCGGGAAGCTCCCAGGCACCACCGTCTCCCTTCCTGTGTCTTGCCCAGATTTTGGTAGCTGGAGGAGTGGGCTGCAGCCATCAGCTGTGACCATCTCCTGTGAGGTGTTCCTGTGCCAGGCACAGGTGAGCAGCTGCCTCCAGGAACCCCGAGACACACTGCGACAAACACACGGTGACACACAGTGACAGCAGCAGCGACAGGGAAGCTGCCAGGGCTAAAATATTCTGAGCTTTGCAGGCTGTGTCCTGTTTTCTATCCTGTTTCTATCATGGTTTTGTCATTCTTGTTCTCTCTTTAAAGAGGTTTTTTTTAAAAAAATTCTTAACTCCTTGGGCAGAGCAGGCTGTGGACAAGAACACTGGGGGGAGTCAGGTGGAACAGGCCCTGATACCCGGGTGGGGACTTGTATCATTGGTGTACTCCTATGGGCTTCCTTGCCACCCTCCTGCCCACCTGTTACCAAGCAGCGGGGGTGGAGAGGGGAAGCGGTTCCAGGGAATGGGATATCCCAAAGTCAAACCTCCTTTCCCTCTGAGCGATTTCTGGAGCCTCAGCCCTGGAGTCTGGAGAGAGGCTAACCTTGCATGTCTAGGCCACTGTTAGTCCCAACTGGTGTGTGTGTGGCGGGGGGGGATCATCTTAACAGCAGGATGAGAACACCCAACTTGGCTGCTGTCTGCCCAGCTAAAACAGTGGGCACATGAATGACACCTACTTCTTAACAGTCCCTTGAGGGGCTGGTGTCGTGGCACAGCATGTGGAGCCCCTATTTGTCATGCCAGCAGCCCCCACCGGAATGCCCATTTGAGTCCTGGCTGCTCTGCTTGTGATCTAGCTCCCTGCCAATGATTCAGAGAATACAACCCAAGACCAGCCCTGTCACCAGGCGGGGGTTCTTGACTCCTGGACTTCAGCTCAGTCCAGACCTGGCTGTTGCAACCATTGGGAAGCAAACCAGAGAATGCAATATCTCTCCCTGCTACTTTGCTTTTCAAATAGATACTTTTTTGTTTGTTTGTTTTGAAGGATGAAAACAGCTACTAACTGCAGCAAACATGAGCTGGGACCATAACAGTGCATGTGTGAGGACACAGAGCTGGGTGCCATACCCCTACCTTCCGCGCACGGGTTGTGTAGCAGGTTCCTGTGCAGGCTTCGCAGGAAGTAGAAGATCTTCCAGTCGGCCACGGGCTGGTCCCAGTCCTCGGTAATGAAGCCCTCGCGGAGGCACTTGCGCTTCCAAAGGGTGGTGAGGTCGATGAGGTCTCGCCAGAGGCTGCAGACGGGGCGGCAGCGCAGCAGCAGCTGGCGGGCAGGCACGTGCGTGAAGAGCTCCAGCAGGATGTTCTCGGGCAGCTCGTTGATGTTGCCCACAGCCATGACTCCAGGGGCTGCGGGAGAAGCTGCAGCTTCAGGCCCGGCCTCTCCCCTGGACCTGTTGTTGTTAGTTGCACTCGGCGGGGGTGGGGGTTCGCGCATGGGCTCCCCCCAGACTGGCAGTCTCGCTGTGGCCTCTGAGGGCGGGGTCGGGATGCTACTTCCCTGCAGGGGCTACAGCGGGTGTAGTGTCAAAGCTGAACCCCAGTGCTTCCCTCGCACCTCATTATGGCTGGCTGTGGAGGTGGGATGTGAAAGGGGCTGCCCAGGGCCACAGACATGGGCAGCGCGCGTGTGTGTTTGTGTGTGGGTAGGAGGTGTCTGGGTCCTCTCATTCCAGGGTCAGGGCCAGGCCGGACTCTACATCCTCCTCTCCCATCCATAAAACGCTGGTGGGTGTGTGTGTGTGTTTGGGGGGGGGGCGTTTGAAATGGAGGGAGACAATTGTTTCCCATCGAGGTCCACAGAGCCCAAGCCACTTTCGCAAGACCACAAAGGATTAGGAACGCAGGGCCTGGTGAGAGGGTGGGCAACTGGGCAGGCCGGCCCTTCCTGTCATCCCGGGCACTCGCGGCCTTCCATTCCCATTCCTTTCCATGCCCCCACCTCCCCAAGATCCGGGCCAGGATCCTAGCGACTCCCCTACCCCCACCCAGGTCCCCGCCCCCGCCGTATCCTGAGGCCGCAGCTTCTGCTAGTCCCAAGGTCTTGGCCGGGTTTGCGCCGAGCCTCCTTCCGCGTCCTTCCGTGTCCCTCCACCCCCACCCCGGGGCGCGGCGGGAAGCCACCGAGCTCTCCCGCCAGGACCCCGCCGCCGCGGCCCGCGCCACCTCCCGCCAGGCCACCTGCGCTCGGCAGTCGCTGCGCAATCCCCGCCGGGCCGCGAGGGGCTGGAGAGCCACCGCATGCGCCCCGCCCCCGTCGCGCTCCGCTCCGCGCGGGGCCTGGACGCGCACCCCGCCCCGCATCGGAGGAAAATTACCTGGCGTGGATACCCGAAGGAGCCTGCTATCCCCGTGCGCCCCGCACCCTCCGCCTGACCCAGACACTCCTACCCGCCTCGCCGCCACTACGAGCGCTCCCGATGTTCCCTCCCCCTCCTCCATTGAGCGGAACGCCTCCTCCTGACCTTTCTCGGCCTCCAGGATCCGGGGAGGACTCGGCACCCTGCAGCCTCGGGCCGTCGCCGGCACTGCGGGGTTGCGGGGCGCGGGGCCAGAGGCGGGGCGGGCCGGGGGCGGGGACCTTTAAGAGGCGCGGCCGCTGGGAGCGACACAGACGCGCGCAGCGCCGGGACTCGCCGCCGTGGGACTCGGGCAGCCAGCAGCGCTCCGGCTCCTCCTCCTCTCACGATCGTCTTCTGCAGCGATGGACGGAGACGGTGACCCAGGTAGCCGCCTGGGGGTCCCTCGCTCCGACCGGAGGCAGTAGGCAGGCGGGCGCGTGCATAGAGGGTCTTTCGAGATGGAGCCCCTCTGTCCCTCCACACCCCTCCCGCGCAAACTTTTCCTCAAGAGGAGCCCACCAGACGGTCAGGAAATATCGTGGGTCCCTTGATCTGGCGGGAGGCAGAGAGGAATTTCCCGGTCCCCAACTGGGGGAGCTGGACGCGCCAGGGATGCAGGCTTGCAAGTCTTTTCTTCCATCAACTTCTTCCATTTCTATCTCTGGGTCATGAACTTCCTGAGGCCTGCTGGGGGTTTGTGGGAGCTCCCTGCGGGGCTGCCTCATCGGGGAGGGGGCTACAGTTCACCTGGGCATGGGATGCCTTAGCAGGAAGATGCTCTGTGGGCGACAGGCCGGCAGTGAGGACAGACGCCTGGCAGCTCAGGTCTGGCTGGCCAGGACTCAGCGCCCTCAGACTGCCCAGTCATCTTGTCTGGCACCAGAGACCCCCTCCCATCCCTCCACTTCCTGCGAGGCCCTGGGGGATGGAGTGCCTGCTGACTCAGGACCCAGAGGAGACCTGCCTGTCGATGGCTCAGATGGCTCAGCAGGCCCCACTGTGTTGGGCACAGGCTGGAGGAAGGGGTAGGGCAGTGGGAAGTACTGTAACCACTCAGGGACCCTGGGGGCCCACTCCTCCCTCTTCCAGCCGGGGACCCAAGGCCCTCCGCTCCCTGGCACTGGCCCCTGCTCTTCCCCAGGGTCTAGCTATTCTCTGTGCACCAGGGCCTAGTAAGGGCTGTTCCTGTCAACAGATAACTTTCCAGCAGCCACAATGTGGGGAGTTGTGTGTGCAGGTGAGGGGGTGGGGGGCTGTAATTGGATCTGAGGCCTTCAGTGCCAGGCCCAGGGGCCAGGAGAGGGGACTGGGCTGGGTGCACCTTTCCAGAGAGCATCAGGTGTCTGCAAGGTCCAGGGCCGGGCTGGAGGAGGGGTGGAGAGGTGAGGACAGTGGGGGCCAGGTCCCCAGAGGGCTGCAGGCATCAGGCAGGTGGCATCTTCCACTGCTCCGCCCTGTGGCATGTGAGAAGCCCCTGGGCTGCCCTGGGTCTCAGCTTCCTCTTTGCCAAAAGGGCAGAGCAGACCCCTGCACCCCCCAAACGGGGTCAGAAACTGCTGCCAAGTCAGGGAAGGGTGTGCTGCTCAGGCTTGAGACTGGCCAGGTGCCCACTGGGCGCTCTGGGCTCCGAGGATGGCAAATCCTGATGTGTTTCTCAGGGTCTGACCGTATGCATGGGGGCAGTGGCCAGGGTGCAATGGCAGCAGAGGGGTTTGAGCCCAGGAGGCTTTTGTCCTGGCAATGCCCAAGCTTGAGCTTGGACCCAGCCCCCTACCCAGACCCCAGTGGCTCTGGGGGTCATGGCCTCACCATCCCCTCTCCTCACCAGCTTCCCTCCTCCAGAGCTGCTGGGCATTGTGTGTTTGCTTTCTCAAGGTTTCAGTGCCCAGGTTGGGGCTGGCTGGAGTACAGGAGGCTGTGTGGCCTATGCAGTGACACCTGTCCACCTCCTTCCGTCCCTTCATGGAGTCTGGCCCTCAGTACTGTGTGGATGGTCTGACCCAGCGGTTATCCCGTTGCTGGCCAGGCCCCTGAGGCCCAGAGATGGGCAGGCAGAAGGAGAGACACTGGCCTTTGCCAGCATCTGGCATGCCTCAGGGTGCCCTCCATCCTGGAGTCACCCGGCAGCGGCTGGCTGAGACTAGTCGGCCCTCGGGCTCCTGCTCTCCCTTCCCCAGGCCCTGGGTTCTCTGTCCCCAGCCCCAAACACCAGCAGTGTGACCTTGCACAGGTCACTGGAACTCTAAGCCCAGGACTTTCCATTGGCCTTCCAGTTGGAACAGGTGTTATCCTGAAGTTGAGGTGGTGGCAGGTGGCTCTGGGCAAGACTCTTGAGTTCATTCCAGGCTCCCACTTATACCTGAAGGGTGGTCCTGGGCTGCTTCCCCACCCCATGCCTCAGTTTCCCCATCACTGAAATCGGGACAAGTCAAGAAGACACAGTGTGAGGCTTTAACGAGGAGAGGAAATTGCAATGCTTGGAGCACAACCTGACATTTGCTAAGGGCCTGGTGAACATGGGTTCCTGAAAGCACCCTGGGCAGGGGGCAAGATGCCAGGCCAGGGGCAGGGAAGGGAAGAAGCAGTGAGTTCCCAGACCCCACTGACCCTCACCAGGCTCAGTCTAGCCCAGAGAGGGGCGTTTGTCAAACTGGCACATCCCAGAAGCTAGGAGGCTAGGTGCTGGTCCTGGGGGCTGAAAGGTGAGGGGGTTTCAGAGGAGAGGATTCCCTGTCTGAACCGAGGACAGGGTTATAGAATGCTACCGATGAAGATAATGGTGGTGACGATGGTGGTGGTGGTGGCTCACAGCCTGCCCTACCCCGCCGCCGGCAGAGAGCGTGGGCCAACCCGAGGAGGCAAGCCCGGAGGAGCAGCCGGAGGAGGCAGTCGAAGAGGAGCGGCCAGAGGAAGAGGCGGCGGAGACGGTGGAGGAAGAGGAGGAGGAGGGGGAGGAGGTGGCATACCTGGCCGAGCTGCCGGAGCCGCTGCTGCTGCGGGTGTTGGCGGCTCTGCCTGCCTCGGAGCTGGTGCAGGCCTGCCGCCTCGTGTGCCTTCGCTGGAAGGAGTTGGTGGACGGCGCCCCGCTGTGGCTGCTCAAATGCCAGCAAGAGGGGCTGGTGCCCGAGGGCGGCGCGGACGAGGAGCGCGACCACTGGCAGCAGTTCTACTTCCTGAGCAAGCGACGGCGCAACTTGCTGCGCAACCCGTGCGGCGAGGGTGAGCGCTGGGTGCCCTGTCTGGGAACGCGCGCGCGGCCAGTCTGCTGGCGCCCCTCGCCGGCCACTAGCTGCTGCCCGGGGCACTCGGGAGCGAGCTGTGGGTGGGGAGGGTCCTCGTAGGAGGGAAGGCAGGGAAGTGCCACCACGTGGGGCGGGGGCTGCGGTGTCCTCGCAGAGGACCTGGAAGGTTGGTGCGACGTGGAGCACGGCGGGGACGGCTGGAGGGTGGAGGACCTGCCTGGTGACAGCGGAGTGGACTTCACGCACGATGAGAGCGTCAAGAAGTATTTCGCCTCTTCCTTCGAGTAAGCACGGGATGGGGGTGCGCGGGGGAGGGGACTGCCTCCCCTCCTCCCCCCCCACGCTAACTCCGGCTCTGCCAGGTGGTGTCGCAAGGCGCAGGTTGTGGACCTGCAGGCCGAGGGCTACTGGGAAGAGCTGCTGGACACGACCCAGCCTGCCATCGTGGTGAAGGACTGGTGAGGGGCACGGGGCCCTGCCGAGACGGGAGGGGAAGGGACGTGGGCAGAGGGCGTCGCCCCTGGCGCCGGCGGCTGAGCTTCCGGAAGATGGACAGGCCCCTCTCCCTGGATTGTGCATGTGTGTTGGTAAATGTGTGCATGCACATGTTTGTAAACACGTTTATAAACATTGCCTCCAGGTAGATTTACCTCTAACCTGGGGGCTGGCAAGTCCTCCCCTGTGGAGCTTGGGCCTCCGTTTGCTTATCTGTGAAATGGGCACCTGAGGCCATTATAACACCTCCCCCCCATCCTGGGCAGGTACTCGGGCCGTAGCGACGCGGGTTGCCTGTACGAGCTCACAGTGACGCTGCTGTCGGAGCATGAAGACGTGCTGGCCGAGTTCCACAGCGGCCAGGTGGCAGTGCCCCCGGACAGTGAGGATGCGGGTTGGGTGGAGGTGAGCCAGGAGCAGGGCGGTGCAGGGCGGTGCCGGGCGCACAGGAGGAGCCACAGGGCCGCGGGTGACGCGGGGTGCCCTGAGCTGCACCTCCCCTCGCCCGCCCCCCAGATCTCGCACACCTTCACCGACTACGGTCCTGGCGTCCGCTTCGTCCGCTTCGAGCATGGTGGCCAGGACTCAGTCTACTGGAAGGGCTGGTTCGGGGCCCGGGTGACCAACAGCAGTGTGTGGGTGGAGCCCTGAGGGTCCCCTTGTCCTGCTTCCCGGGCCAGACCCGCTCTGCCTTAGTAGCATCCTCGCATTCCGTGCCCCGCACCCTCCTCCTCCCCGTTTCCTCCTTATCCCTTGAGCCAGGCCCAGCCTCCACGCTGCCGGCAGGTGTCTGCTTCCGGAGTGGGAAGATGGGTGAGGGATGGGCCCGGGCGCACCGCTGAACCCCGCTAGCACGGAGCCCGCCCACAAGCGGGCGCTCAATAAATGCAGTTTGTCCCTGGAAGGTGTGGATGGGCGCAAGTGTGAGCCAGTCAACTCCCTCCCTCCCCGCCTGGTCCGAGCTGGAAAAACACTTGACGAGGCTGCAGCTGCTCCTGTTTCCAGGGGCCGCTGGGCCGGCGGCGCTGGACAAAGGCTGGATTGTGGGGCCAAGAAGCAGCCAGCTGGGTCTGGCGCCGGTTGGACACCCAAGCTGCCGGAGGCCAGGGGAGAGCTTGGCTGTCTGCCCCCACCCTCCTGCCCCTTCGGAAAGCGAGACTGTGGGGGTACCGGGGTGGAGGTGGTGCGCGGCCCGGGTCAACCTCACCCCAGTAGGATCCAGGATGCTTCCCGCCTGCCCCGCCTGTTCCCGCTGGTTTTACACTGGGAACAATCTGAGCAGTTGCAGCGCTTGGGCACTGTCCAAGCCCTGCCAAGAGCCTGGCGCCTGGCACGGGTTTGAGGAGGGGAGGCAGTGGGGCGTTCTTTCCCCTCCCTGGGCTCCCGGGGCAGGGCTGCCGAGGTCCCGCCTGAGACCCAGGAAAGCTCCTGCTGGCCAGGGGTGGGTTCTGCAGGTTCAAGTTGGGGCCTCTTGCAATCCTTCATTGATTGATTGATTGATTGATTGATTGATTCGTTCATTCACAATTCCTGGGACACCAATCCCAGGTCAGGCCCTGAAGCTTCTGAGGGGTGAGCAGGGCGCTGTCTCTGGGCCACATTGGAGACAGGAAACTCTAGGCAGGGAGAAATCAGGCATTGGACGATGCCAGTCCGATGGTGGAGGCATAGCTCCCGCTGGGGGGTGAGGGCATCTTGAGTCCGACCTGGAGACCAAGCCTGGCCCTCAGGGAGCTCCCAGCCTAAAGGGGGCAGCAGAGTCCCTGTCCTTTCCAGGTCCTCCTGAGCTGCCAAGAGAGGCGAGGTGGGCCCTGGGATAAGGGACGAGGCTCACCCTCATGGGCCCCTCACATCTAAGTCAGTGAGTCCCGGGGAGCCCCGCAGTGGGCAGGGGCAGGAAGTGGGTGTGAGAGGCCCATTGGGGTTGGATGCTATGGGATGAGCCCTCTGTGGGAGTGTGGTAGCGGTGGGAGGTGCTGCAGGTGGCTGAGTGCCCAGGGGTCCATGAGGGTTCTGGGATTCTGGCTGGAGATCCAGGCAGGAGTTACCACATTCATGGCCAAAGCCAGGGGCACCCCACCGGGGAGGTGGGGAGGGCACCTGGGATCATGGGGATGGTGGAGGCAGCAGAGAGGCAGGGGCAGGGAGGGGTCCCTCCAGCCACATGCCCGGTCTCCCCCACAAGGCACAGGGCCCCCAGAGGAGCCCCAGGTCCACTGTGACTGGAGTTAACGAGAGGAGAGCTGCTCCTGAGCCAGGGGCGCCTGGGAGTCCCCAGGCCTGAGGCACTTCCTGTCCTGCTGGGGGGTGACCCATGGTCACCTTTCCAGAGGGTGTCCTGGAAAACCCAGAGAAGCACGTGTTTCAGTCCAGGCCTATCCCTGGAATGTTCTCCTAACCCTGTGGCTTTGCTGTCACCTAACCCAGTGTGCAGGTGTGGTGTGAAAACGTGGGAGAGTCGCTTAAGGAAAACCAGAACCCAAACCCAACCTAGACCTGTGCACTGGCCAGCAGCGGGCACCCAAGAGCCTGCTCTGAACAGCGGGCACAGTGGAAGCCAGGCATGGCAGAGGTGCCCTAAGCTGCTGGCTAATCCACTGATGGGGGCTGGGGCACCTGCCGTGAGGCAGCCCCGGTGACAGACGAGCTCCAGCCTCTTGGAACACACAGTGTAGACAGAAACAAACATAGCCAGCAAATGGTTGTCCCAGTCCCGGCTGCTCTGCTTCCCATTTAGCTCTCTGCTAACTCACCTGATATACACTGGTGATGACTCAAGTGCTTGGGCCCCTGTGCCCACATGGGAGACCTAGACGGAGCTCCTGGCTCCCGGCTGGCCCAGCTCTGGCCAAAGTGGACATCTGGAGGAATGAACCAACTGATGGAAGATCTCTCTCTTTGCTTTTCACACAAACAAGTGAATAAATACTTTTAAAAATGAGCAAGGCAACCTGATGTAGCAAAGGCACTGGGGTGGGATGAGCTCATTGTGTAGGTGTGAGAGGTGGGCAGTCTGCCTGCAGCTGTGAGCTTGTGGGCAAGCACAGGTGGCCTTGTTTTCTGCGGCCCCACTATGTGTTCGCCTGGAAGATATTTAGGAAGCAGATATGGATACAGTACTGTTTCCTTCAAGGAAAAACATCTCAATTTAGCCAGAGCCGGGCCTGGTGGGGGTGGGGCTCACACAGCAGCAGCTCCCCCGTCAGTTGGTGATGGTGATGGCAGCAGGTGTGTGCCAAGGACATGCTGGTACTAGGTTCTGCATCAGAAATATGGCCTCCTCAGGCTAGCTTCTCAGCCCCCTCTGGTGGTCGCCAATAGCCACGCTTCACAGATGATGGGGTTCAAGAGATGGCAAGTGTCACCTGGGGAGTCAGTGGCAGAAGCTGGGTTTCTGGCTCAAGTCTTAACCACTTCACTGCCACACAGCATCAAAGACAGGCACAGGCCGGGAGATACAGCAGCGCCAGGATCTGGGGGGCTCAGAGCACAGGACAGAGGAGCTGGGGATGGCCGTGGCCGCCTCCCCCCACCTGGGGCGTCCACGCACGCTAGGGCCTCCATGGAGCACAGGCATTACTGGTACGTCTTGATAGGTTGAAGGATATGGGGAAGAAAATGAATTCCCTGTATATTTTTGGGTAGCTACTTGATGTAACCATTTTGTAATGGGAAAGTCCCTCTTCCCCCCTTCTGATTTGTTTACCTTGAAAGTTGGATTTTTGTGTAACTAAATTCCCTTGAACCCAGAGGGAGGGAAGGAAGAGGCAGTTCCTACTTCCACCACCAGGTGTCAGGATTGTCCAGGCAGTCTCCAGGCTGAGTCCCGCTGCCCTTCACTGAAGCTGGAGCCGCAGCAGAAGTCAGAATTCGAATTGGAAGCCTGCTTTCCTTTCATGATCTGGAGCCAAGCGTCCGCAGGGGCTCCTGAGGAATGCTGAAGAGGCTGCCCTGCCTCCCCATGCCCCAGGACTAGGAGAGGCTGGGAATCTCCATGAATCTGGCCCCTTGGGTGTGGACACCCAGGCAGAGGCTCCCTTGGTCTCTTGACCGGGGGTCGGGGGGGGGGATCCTGACTTGGCTATTCCTCCCATGTCCAATCAAATCTAATTAACAAGGAAAATACACATGCTTTCCCCAGAGCCAACCCACTCACCGTCAGTGCCTCCTGGCCCAACTGGCAGCATGGAGAAGTCCTGGGGAGTGCTGGGGGCCGCCTCTAGTTCTGCTGGTGGTGCAAAAGATTTCAGCTAGATGGGAGGAAGAACTTTCTGGGTGTGGGGGTGGAGAGCATGGTCTCATTTAGGAACAAGGGGTTCCTAATACGTGAAGGAGGGCCATGGAGGCTCCTGGCAATTGGTTCCCACAGCACAGACCACCGACCGTGCCTACCCTAGGCTGGCTGACATCTTGTAGTGCCCTGTGACACATGGGGCCATCGAAGGCAGCTGTTTGGTGCATCCCACGTGGGAGTGCCTGGGAACAAGTCCTGCCTTTGCAACAGGTGGCAGCTCCAGGACGTGGGTCCCGTGGGTCCCGACCACGCCCCTGAGATGCCCAGCATGGAGTTCCAGGTTTCTGGCTTCAGCCTGGCTCTGCCCTGCATATTGCAGGCATTTGGGGGAACTAACCCAGAGAGTCTGTCTGCCTTACAAATAAGATCGCAGTAAGCCCCGAAGCGGTATGCAGGGTCTGCAGCTCCCTTCCCACTGGGCCTGCCTGCCCCTGCCTCTCCCAGGATCAGCATGGCCCCTTGTGCAGGGCAAAGGGCATCCTTTGTAAAGACCGTTGACCAGGTGTTGCTCCATCCTCATCGGCAGCATTGGAAGCCGTTGGTCCCCATGCTCACCTGGGCACCACTGTACCCATGATCTCCAGGGGCCCCAGAGCCTCTGAAGGAGACCAGGGGGCAGTAGCGTTTGTTCCCTGTTTGCTCATGTACGCCGCGTGGCTCTCCTGGAGAGACTGCAGCCTGCCCTGCACTGGCCATTGCAGCCATTTGGGATGTGAGCCAGCAGAGGGAAGCGCTCTCTCTCTCTCTCTCTCTCTCTCTCTCTCTCTCTCTCTCTCTGTTGCTCTGTATTTCAAGCACATCAAATAAATCTTAGAATAAAACTATGGGTCTGTTGCTGCCGCCTGGTGGCATAAGCTGCTGCCTGTGGAGCCAGCATCCCATGAATCGTTTGAGTCAAGTACATAAATTCTTTTTTTTAAAGCTGTCTTCTACAGAAGGGTCAAGGTTGGAGCCTCAGCCCACGGGACTCCACGCACGTAGGCAGCAAGCCATCCACACTCAGTGTTTCGTCAAGAGCTGTCCTGATCCAGGGGTTCTCCCACATCTGGGAGCAGAGAGCTCATGTGGGATTTGTGGATTCTTGGCAGTTCATCCTTCTTATCCCAACAGCAAGAACCTCTCCTGCCCAGACTTCAGCGCTGCTTCACTCAGCTGGTTTTGGCTCTCTCTGCCGCGGCCAAAGCATCCCCGGAGCCAAGTTCTATCATCCGTGATACGCTACGTTACGAGGCATCCACACTGGCCACGCCCACCAGCCTGCCCATGAGAGGCCACGCCCACAGAGTGCTTGCCCGGTGGGCGGTGAGCTCAAGGCGCCCTTCACCTGGCCTGTTCAGCTTCTGAACACTGATAATATTAACATTCTAGAGGCTTATTTACTTTTTATTTAAAAGCCAGTGTTCCAGAGAGAGGGGAGACAGTCTGCTACCCAAATGGCTGCAATGGCCAGTGCTGTGCTGAACCGAAGCCCGAAGTTTGGAACTCCACCCAGGTCTCCCATGAGAGTGTACGCGCCCACGTGCTCGAGCTTTATTTATTTATTTATTTATATTGGAAAAATAAATTTTTAGGGAAAGAGATGCAGAGAGGAAGATATACCTTCCATCTAC